GACGAAAACTGGGCCACCCCGCGGAGAGTCGAACCTGCGTCCTCGGCGAGTTTGCCTAGGCTACCCGGGCCCTGCGTGCTCAACGCCGGGCCGTCCCCAGCCCAGGTCCCGGTGCACGTCCGCGCCCCTCACACTGATTCCGAGAGTCGCCGTGTCTCTCTCGCACCTGCGCAACACGACCCGCGAGTGCGAGAGAGACAAAGCGACGAAAACGACTCTCGGAATCAGTCTGCAGGCCGGCGCTTCCTGGAGCCGCTAATAGACCTGCTGCTAATGAGGCGCAGGTCGTTACTCCGTTGCCGCGTTCCGGGTGACACACCGACGCATCAACACACCGACACGTCGACACGCCGACGCGGCCACGCAGCCGCTCCAGTTTCGGCCACGCACGCGGGCGGGGTGGATCGGAAAGGTTTCGGTCTTCTTTCCTTCTCTGTTCCCGAGTGATTTGGCCCGGGCCGCCACTCCCACGCCACCGTCGGCGGGCACGGGGGCGGGGCGAGCAGGGCCGGTGACGGCGTCTGCTATTCCAGGAGCTGCGCGACCAGCTGCGCGTGGCGTGGCCACGGCTGGCATGGCGTGGCAGCGGGGACCGATCTTTTTCTCCGGAATCGTTTCGCCGCGCCACTCTACCACTCCGCCACTCCCCGCCGCATCTGCCGGCCGCGCGCGCCGCGGTGGAGTACCAGGCAGGCCCTGCAGTGCAGGCCGCCGCACCGCCACCCTCACGACAACGGGGTCACCGCAGATAGCACGCGCGTTACATGTCACCCATGTCACACAGTCGCACCACACCTTTCCATTTTCTATCTCCTCACCTCGCTCTCTCTCTCTCTCTCTCTCTCTCTCTCTCTCTCTCTCTCTCTCTCTCTCTCTCTCTCTCTCTCTCTCTCTCTCTCTCTCTCTCTCTCTCTCTCTCTCTCGCACTCGCGCACCCTCGTTACACACAAAGGCGTTGCGGTTGCGCCACCAAAGTGGCTGACCAAAGCCGCGCACTAGTTTTCCTGTTTGCGCGTGTCTTCCGCGAACGCGGGGTGCGGGAGGAGGGGGAATCGACTAATGTACGCCCTGGCCGCCCTTGCCCCTTTCTCGTTGGCGGGCTCGGAGGGCTGGCGCGGACGGGCCCGCGGCCACAGCCATGGCACAGCGGGGTCCTATCGTAACGAAAGCAGAATTAATTATTTTCGTCTCTTTGAACCTCCGTGGCGCTTCCCAGTACGCGGCGGGCGTACGCCGAAGGCTGAAGAAAGGGGAAAGGGGAGCCGGAGCGCGGCCCTTGGCCAGGCCGGCCAGGCCTTGGCCAGCCCGCCGAGCCGGAGCGAGATAGCGACGTAATTTGTGCATAATATAGGCCATCGCCTTCCCGCCCTTCCGAGAAGCTTTTCCAGGCTCGGGGCGCTCGACGCTCGGGATGCTCGGGATGTGATGACAGGGGAGATTTTGATTCTACTGTCCAAGCAATAACAGCAGCAGTAGCCTGCCTCCCCGCCCCGCCCCGCGCAGAGACGGTCATCTTTGTCGATTCGTCGTGTCCGGGGCCCGCTCCGGTTCACCCTTTTTTATCATTTTTACCTCGCCCCTGTTGTGTTTTTATTTCGTTCAGGTAGCAGCAGGCTCGCTGTCAATCGCGCCCCGCTCGGTCTCTCTCGCACCTATGCGGAACGCCCAACGCCCCCGTAAGTGCGAGAGAGAGAGAGAGAGAGAGAGAGAGAGAGAGAGAGAGAGAGAGAGAGAGAGAGAGAGAGAGAGAGAGAGAGAGAGAGAGAGCGACGAAAGCGCTGGGTCCATCCGTCACCGCCTCGCTGCCCGCCCTGCCCGCCCTGCCGGTCCGGATTTCAATGCGTCCAATTTGGGCCATTGTAGGCAATGGGTGCTGTTGGGCACGGCGCGGCACGGCACGACCCGGCAGCGCACGATAGGCACGCAGCACCACGCGTGCCTCGGCATCACTCCATCAGGCTGTCAAACAGGCAACAACCAAAAAACAAAACAAAAAGAACTGTTTTAAAAAATTACGGATGAAAACAAACGCGTTTAGAAATAACCATGAACGAAGATAGGTTTTCTAATAATATTTTTCGCCGAAGACAATTTGTTCTGCTGGTAAAACTTGGAGCGAGCGGCGCGCCGAGAGTCCCGGCTCGACGATTCCAGAGACAGACTCCAGGCCACGCCAGGCCCCGCGTCGCCGCTACCCCATTACTACGAAGGCTCGTTTCTGGAATTTACTGGAGTGTGGTAAAGGGTTCAAAGAAGCACGTCGCTCGGCAGGCGCGCCGCGCGAGAGGGGGAGGGGAAGGGGCGACGCGATAGACACTAGACTGGTTCGTTTGATCAGCGGGCGCCACGCTCCACCACTTCATGCTCCGCGACAAGACCACCGTCGTCCTGTCGGCGGCCGTCCTGCTGGCATGGCACGGCCGGCCGGCGGGCAGCGGCGAGTGAGATGTCCGCAGCGCCACCAGTCCGCCGACAGCTGCAGCCTGCAGTGGACTGGTTCCGAGAGTCGCTCTGTCTCTCTCGCACCTTTACGGAACGCCCCATGAGTGTGAGAGAGACAGAGTGACGAGAACGACTCTCGGAATCAGTTTGCAGAGCCAGAGCCTGCAGTCGAGAAACCGCGAGCAGCTTTCACTTTCGTGTGGCAGTGGCACCTGGGGGCCCCACTGGGGCGGGGGCTGGGGGCGGGGGCTGGGGGCGGGGGCTGGGGGCGGGGCACCTGCGAGACCGCGAGGACGGAGGATGCCTTTCCCGGCAGCCTTTGCAGTGGCGTGCAGGCGTGCAGCGTACACGGCGTACTGCTCGGCATGGGCTGGGCAGCCGGACGCACTTACGCCACCGACTGGGAAGCCAGCGGACTGACTCTTTCCCTCACACCTAAAAGAGACGCCCCAGGAGAAAGACGAGAGACAGGAATGAGACAGCCGGGGCCACTGACCCGCTGCGGTCCGGGGTGTCCATCCAGGACCGCGTCGAAGTGGGTGTGGGAGGGCGCGAGGCGGCGCGGTCACCGCTGCGTCGGCATTCGGAACGGAACTTGTCACCTGTCAACACAATCCTAGAATAAATTTCCCGTCGATTTGCCTTGCTCGAGTCTCGGCGGTGCCGTGCGAGGCATATCGAGCGGCGCGAACCAGGTGCGCGCTGGGAAGGTAAACAGTCGTCAAATACACTCTTACAGTGACAGTGCGCGGGCCCGCGCCGCGTACAGTACCCTACAGCGCGGCGTGCCCTGCAATGGCCGAAATGCCCTGCTCGAGTCTCGATTGTCGTGTCTCGAGGCGTGCCTAACGGTAGGACGAAAGCCACCGCGTCTCCCTGCCTTTCTCATAACAGACACGTCAAAAGTCGAAACGACGTCGCAAACGCGAAAACGGCACCGCTTTCTGGACCCTGTGCGGGTCGCTTGGACGCCCAACCGCCACCGCCAGCCACCCTCGTCCCCTGACGTAATTGCCGCCTGACAGTGTAACAGCCACCCGCCGTCGCCGTCCTCGCCGTGCCGCCGTGCCCGTCACACCGCCGCCGTATCCGGCGACAGTTTCGTTTCCCGAGAAATGCAATTCCGGCGTTTTTTCCGGCTCGCGCGATGCGGTGGTCGAGTTGATGGCGGCCGGCGGGGCGGTCGGACTGGGAGGGGCGGGGCGGAGGCTCGGCGACGACGACGCGGTCGGTTTATGAAAGGGTCACGCCGCCGCGCGGCGAAAGAAACCCCAAGCCCGCCAAGCCGGCCGGCGAAACCCAGCTCGGCGTTTGGACTTCCCTGCCGCCGGTTTCATAAAGCAGACGCAGCAGGAAAACTGACGAGCTAGACTGCCTCATGACTCGAGCCGCTGTGTCTTCGTCAAGGTGACTCTCTGGCCGTCCTATCAGTGTGTGATCGGGTTCGGGGAAACTGGGTGAAATCCAGGTGTTGGCAGCGGCGGCCGTTCACAAGTACAAAGAAGAGTCCAACTGCCGCCAGGCGGTTGGTACAGGATGGTCGCCGAGCACTTATTGAGCGTCAACAACAGTTTTTTCCGAACGCCGCGATAGTGGGTGATTGGGCGACGGCCTGTTGTCGCACCGCGGCGCAGCGGCGCAGCCTGTGGCGCACCGAGGCGTGCGGGCCGGGCGGGCGCCTCGCCGGCAACCCACGCCGCGAGTGTTGCAAGTGCCGTTCGCGCTTCGCGGTCCGCGTTGTTGGCGCAAGCGCGGGTGGCGCTCCGCCGCGCTACGCTGGCCTGGCATGTGTGTCGTTCCCAGAAACGGTTTATCTGCCCTCCGCCCTTCAAAGTTTGAACGGCGCCGCGCACGGGGCGTCACGCGTCACACACGCGTCACCGTCACGCGCCGCGCAGGCCGGCAGCGCCGCGCGGTCGCCGCGTCGCCCGGGCCTGCCTACCCTGCCTCTCGCGGGCGCTGGCCAGCGCTGGCCGCCGCCCGAAAGGCACGTTTCGTCGCTCCGTCTCTGTCACACTCGGCCTGTAAGGCACCAGGAGGGAGACAGATGCGTCGAACCGACCCACGAGGCGGCTGTCGCTGTCAAGCTGGAGCTGGACGTAGCGGAGCCAAGCGGAGCCGAGCGCAGCGCGGGGAGCAACGGCCGAGGCAGGGCAGGTGCGAATTTCAGTTTCGGGTGCTCCGCGCGTGTGACGACCCACAGTACACACGTGCGCGCGCGCCTGTGTGCGTGTGTGTGTGTGTGTGTGTGTGTGTATGTGTGTGAGTGTGCGCGTGTGTGTGTGTGTGCGTTTCGGTTTCCACACCGGCCGTGGGCCCGGCCCGGCACAGCACACAGGCACAGCTTTCCGGGTAAAGGGCCGCACACGAACGCTTTTCACAGAATTCCCTCCCTTCCGCGACGCCCCCGCCCCGCCCCTGGCCTCCCTCGCCGGGCCCCGCCGCGCTTAGTTCGCCGGTTGGCCGCGCGGCGCGAGGAGGAGGGGGGCGCTGGCGTCGCGGCCGGGGCCGGGAGCGCGGGGCGGGGGGAGGGGGAGGGGGCAGGTGGTGCAGTGCACGCTCTCGCGCCTCGCCTGGCTTCTCGCTGCTCGCTTGCGCGCGCGCGCTCCCGCAGTGCGCAGAGCGCTGCCACGACGGAAGGACGTGTTCACGTCGCTCCGCGCCCGACTCGCCGTGTCCCCGTAGTAGTGCGCGACGCTGTGAACACCAACTGGATTACTTTCGCCACTGCCCATTGGATTACGTACCTCACCTCTTGTTCACCACCCCGAGGATGCACCGCCGCGGAGCGCATCTGCCGCAGCAAGCTGGACTACTTTCATGACCAAGGTGAGGCGCGGGCGATGTGCTTCACGTGCCGCCCCTAACCTCTCGCGGGGCTCCAACGTCATCGGGCACGTCCGGTGGCGCAGAGGCTTTAACAGGCTTTAGCCGCCCGGGCGGGCCGATTAAGCGCTCTGCCATCGCACATGGCCAGTCGGTGGCGGCCACCAGGCCGGACCTGGAATCCGGGTACCACTCGGGTACATTCGAACCCCGCGGCGCGCCGGCACACAGTGGGCCAGAAGACCGGTGGAGGCGGCCAAAACACTGGACGCGTTTTGAGCTGCTAAGTCGCTTAACAGGGCTCGAACCGAACGTGTGACCCTACCAATGGATTCCTCGTTCGGAGAGCAATCCATTGGTAGGGTCACACGCTCGTTTCGAGTCCCATTTTGCGACTCCGCAGCTCAAAACGCGTCTTGAGTTTTGGCCGCCTCCACCGGTCTTCTGGCCCACTGTGCGGCAGGCCATGCCCGCAGCGCGCTGCCGAGCGGAGCGGCGCACGGCCGGGCCGGCCGGGGAGCCGAGCCGGAGGAGCGGAGCAGAGACCGTTTCTGGGAAGACTGGGCCTGGCGGCCTGGCTGGGCTGGGCCTCCAGCAGACAATGCTTGCTCGCTCTGCGAAAGGACTCAAGTCGCGTCCCCTCCCCTCTCCCCCTTTATATTATATTCTCCCTGCATTTCTGTCGCTTTGTCGCGCGCGATGCCGGGAGGCTGATTTCGAACAGTTCATCTCTGTCCCTGTCGCACTCGCGGGGCGCTGCGACTCGGTGTGAGAGAGACTGCGCGACGAAAGCTCCGTTCGGAGCGAGATGCCAATTGAATCCGTCCGATTGGGTCTCGCCGCGCTCCGCGTTCGCACCGTGCCCGCCGCTTGCCGGCCTCGCTGCATTCCGGGGTGGGCGGTCGGCTGATTCCGGGAGTCGCATTCGTCGCTCTGTCTCTCTCGCACCTATGAGGGAGACACCACAAGTGCGAGGGAGACGGACTGCAGTCCGCCGCATGACCGCAGCGCGTCGCGGAGAGCAGAACGACGGCGATGACGGCACCGACAGCTTCGCGGCCTGCTGTCTGAGCCCCGCGGCGGCCCCCAGGACTCCAGCACTTTCACCCGGCTAAGCCGTCGGCACTCCTCCCGCTACATCCGCGGCCAGACGGGCCGACGGGCCAGACGCACCGTCACATGGCATGGCCGTGGCATGGCCATGGCCTGCGCGGCCTGCGCGGCTCGGCAATCATTCATTCATTCGTTCATTCATCCATCCATCCGGCCGTTGCGAGCCTGGGCCTATTCATGGCCACCGCTTCCTGCTCGGCGTGCCTGGGGCCGGGCTGCCTCGCCTCCAGCGTCGCTGCGTGCGTTGCGTGCCGCGCCGCATCGGGGTTTTGTTTGGTGTCAAAGCGGCTCGTCCGGCGGGGTGGCGGCTCTCGTGGCGGAGGGCGGATGTGGGCGAGATAAGCCTCGGGCAGGGCACCAGGCCGATCCCGAGGGGGAGGTCTGTCTCTCTCGCTCTCTTGGGACGTCCCGTGTGGGTGAGAGCGAGACAGACTGACGAGACCTCCGCAGGGCCACGCCGCAGGGCTGCCAGGGCTGCGCCGCACGGGGTTTAGGGGCTCATCGGCCGTCTACTACACCATTCAAACGGCCTGGGTCACGTGGTGTGCGGCCGCGGCGGCCCTACGAGTGCGTGAGTCCGAGCCCTACGGCCATCGTCTCTGCCGCTCTCATGGGGCGTTACGTCGGGTGCGAGAGAGACCGAGCGGCTCTCCGGAGTCAGCCTGCCGGCCGCAACGCGCGCAACGTCCGAGGAGAGGAGTCCGAAGCCCCTCGCTTCCCAGAATGGCTCTTCGAGAGGAGCGGGCGGCGTGGGGCCAGCAAGGCTGTGGCGGCCGGGCCGAGCCGAGCCGGCCTGCGGGTCTCTCCGAAGTCTCCGGCACGGACTCGCTGCTCCCCACACGAGAGGCGATTATTGATACCCGTTCCTGTTTCTCAAAATCGAAAAACTGCCAATTTGCCTGCTGGTTTATTGTTCGCCGTACCGGGAAGGGAGATCAATTTATTCCCGTCCAACGGGCAGCGCGGCGCAACCTTGTGTTCCATTTTGCAAGTTGGCCAAGTCCGTCGGCGTGCCCGCCGGGTGCGACCGGCTCCTCAAACTATATCCTATAACAAGCTGACCTCGGGAGTCGCTTTCGTCGCTCTGTCTCGCACTCACGGCGCGTCCCGTATGGGTGCGAGAGGGACAGAGCGACGAAAACGAATCAGCCTGCAGACGGCCTGACCCTTGGCCGCGTCCGCGCCCTCTGCCCGGCGCCACGCCCCGCCACGGGCCTCAATCACTGCGGGGTCAACGTCCTCGAAGTTGTTCCGGCGGGGGTGGGTTGGCGTGGGGCGGCAGGGAGCCTGGAGCGGCGCTGTTGCTGGCGCCCTCCCCCTCCCTTCCAGCAACCCCCGCGCCTCAGGCAGGGGCGGCTTTGTTTCCCGAAATCCACAGTGAAGTGTGCCGCGTCGCTTTGGTCGCCGTTCCAGGAACCCATCTGCGGCCGGCTCCGTGGCTCCGCTCGCTCCGCTGGGTAGGGGCCGGGCTGCCCGATACGACAGTTTGGCCAAGGCGCGTCGCGCCGTCGCGGCCCAGCCCTGTGACGCCACGCCCAGACCGCAAGCCGCGCGGCGGCGGCCCCCAAGTTTGTTGCGTCACTGTCTGCCACTATTTGCGCTTCTAGTCCTTGTTGAACCTCCCCCTGCAGACTGATTCCGAGAGTCGTTTTCGTCGCTCTGTCTCTCTCGCACCCATACGGGACGCCCTGTGAGTGCGAGAGAGACAGAGCGACGAAAACGACTCTCGGAATCAGTCTGCTGGCCAAGCCGAGCCGCGTGCAGTCTGCTCGCTGTTCGTTCCCCTCCGCGGCGCAGCGGCGCAGGCACGCGCACGCTCGCGCACGGCTTCGCGCGCGCTCAGGTGCGAGGAGAAATCCCCGTCTCGGGTCGGTCGCCGGCACGGCTCCGCCGGGAAGCGGCACCGGCCCAAGGTTCCTGGTAAATGGCTTACGAGTACGCAGAGTACAGTACTAGCGGCCACACATCGGGCAGTGTGTGTGTGTGTGCGTCCGTGTCTCGCAGTAATGGCTTTTCGGGCGGCCCCACCCCGGCCCAGCACGGCTTGCCGTCGCTTGCCCGCATGTGCGTTGTGCTGGCTGTGCGGCGCTCGGAGCTTCCAGGATTCCGGGAGGAAGAGGAGCAGTACTAGCTGCTTAGGCTTGCCGGGCGGCTTTGCTGCCCGATCCAGCGGTCTGTCCCGGTGAACTCGCCGAGCCGAGCAAGCCAGCAGCCAGCCCAGCACGCTGCCGGGCTTAGAACCCCTTTTTGCCCCCCGGCCGCTATCAGACGCCAAGGGACCCGTGGGGCTCGTGCATGCGCGCTTGCGGGCCGCCCCGCCCCGCCCCGCGAAAGCTGCCCTCTCATGCTGTGGAGTCGCTTAGCACAGCGAGCACAGCACTAATCCGGGCTGGGATTGGGAGCGGGCGTGCCTGGGCGCCCCGGCGGCCCTGGGGGCCCTTCGCGCCCGCTCCTGCTCGTGCGGTACTTTCTCATCGCGGTGCCGGGGCGGGGCGGGGCTCGCTGTCGTTCCACTCTACTTGGTGACCGAGGCTGGCGGGGCTGGCGGGGCAAGGCACACGTCGTGCCATCGCCTTGTGCTATTCCCGCTATCGATAAGACAATCGCTTTAGCGGTAAGCGTAAGCGAGTTGTCTGCGCTTCGGGGAATTGATTCGCGCCGCCCTGAAGGCGCCCTTCCCCGCCGGACCGGTTCGCGAAGGGCTCCGAAATGGCGCGTCTTGCGTTGCGTCACGGCACGGCTTGGCGACGGCCGGCCGAGGAATGCTGCGGGTTCGACTTGCAGGGCGCGCTTCCGGCGGTCGCGACAAAGACCGTGTTGCCGTGTTCGGCGGGCCTAGAGGGCTGGCCGCCGGTTCTGCCGAATTCGCGTCGCTTCGGGGAATTCCGCGAAGCGTGTCGCGCCGCCGTCGCGCCGCGCATCTCGGGGCGGGGCGGGGGGCATGGCGGCCGCGGGGCCGCGGCATGGCCCGTGGGGGTCTCAACGCTCGACGTGCTGGTGTTGCCCTGGCGGTATAAATAGCAGGGGGCTGTGAAATTGCATTCCGCCGCGGCACAATCACGGGCTGTTTATTAGCCTCGGCGAGTCGCGGTGGCGCGGTGCGGCGCAGTGGCGATGGCGGGCGTGATTGAAGAGACATAATGGAATCTCATTCGCGGAATCGATAGGCCCTCCGCGCAGCACCGCGCAGCACCGCACACTCCTTCCACCTCCACTGCCAACCCGAGACGCGCTGCTTGCTATTGTGCAGCCGGTGGCTGGGGGAGGGTCCTGTATCGCCTTTGTGCCCGGGGGGCCGCGAGGGGCGGATGGCCTCCGGGACGGCCTCCGCACAGTGGGCCAGAAGACCGGTGGAGGCGGCCAAAACTCTAGACGTATTTTGAGCTCCAGAGTCGCTAAATGGGACTCGAATCGAACGTGTGACCCCACCAATGGATTCCTCGTTCGGAGAGCAATCCATTGGTGGGGTCACACGTTCGGTTCGGGTGCCATTTAGCGACTCTGGAGATCAAAACGCGTCTAGGCCGCCTCCACCGGTCTTCTGGCCCACTGTGCTCCGGTCCGGGACCTTCTGGCGAGCACACCTGGCTCGCGCTCGGCTTGCGCAGCTTGTGCCCTCTTCCCAGGATTAGCGCACGAGCATGGATGGGGCTCGACTTTCAACGCGTTGCAAGAAAAATGATTAGAAAATGGATTTCGCCTCGCCGCCTTGCCTTGCCTTGCTGGCGGTTCCTCGAAGCCCGGCCGGCATCCCTAATCATATTGGAAGGCCAGAGAGTGCCGGGAGGCCCTCTTTTTTTTTACGTTTCCATTTTTTTCCGATTCTGTGCCAATCATTTTGCGCAAAGCGTTTTCTGGGAACGCGGCATGAAAGTTTGCTTTCCATGACG